AGCAAATGACAGAAATTGCTATGGACTACAGAGTGGAGATTGTTCTTGTCTCTTGAGGTATAAGTGAGCCTAAATAAGTAGATAGGAAATAACATTTGCATGTTTTTGATACAAGCTAGGAAAATAACATATGTTTCCACGCAAAATAAAATAAAATAAAATAAAACCATACAAGGGAAATAACTATGTCAAAAAATTCCCTTGAAAGGCTGCAAAAGCATATTCTGTTTTTCAAGGGGATATGCATATGCATGATGTTTTAGAGCAAAAGAAAGAAACTCTCATTGTTCTGAAAAAGGGTTTCTGATTTGCTTAACTTCAGTTTTTGCTGTAACAGTTCTAGAAATTAGTTCAACTGGTTGTAATGCCTGTGAAGCTGAATACACCCTGTTATCTTGTCTATCCTGTTTTCCAACCAAGAGAAAGAACAATCACAAAAGGCCACTTATATAAAAGATGCATCTACTTGTACTTGAATTGCTTTCATAATGGCCGGAATGTGGACACAGAAGCCAGGGAGAAATTCTTAATTAGTTAACTGAAATCAAGATCCTGCTTCTTTCATTTTTCCTCTATTTATTAATGGATTCCCATCATTCCTTCCGTTCTTTTTTTTTTTTTATTGTTTGCCATACTTCATTCCTTCTGTTTACTATTATACTATTTTGTCAAAACCTTTTGAAGCAAAGAAGACTACAAATCAATTGAAGTTTAGTTCGGTCCATGTGAATGGATAATATGGTCCTCTGAGACGAGGATTTACGGAATACAGTCCATGTGATCCTATCTTTATGCCAAATTTCAGTGTCTCCCTTTTCATAATCTTCAGAGAAAAAAAAGATGAAAACCCTGAAAGAAAGCCTTAAAGTTAGACGGAAACTATATACTAAGGGTACGTTTGGGATTACTACAAAGTGTTATAGTTGTAGTTATAGTTGTATTGAATTGTGGTTGAAAGTTATTTTGGTATTTGATTATTTATTTTTTAATTTTTTAAAAATATTATGGATGAAATATAATAAATTTTATTAATTATTAATTAAATTTTAAAAAATATTGTAAAATATATAATTATTAAAATAAATATTATTTACTTTTTTTAATAATTTAGGTTTTTTAAATTTGTTATCATTATTAAAATATTATAAATTATGATGTAATTAAATTATACGAAATTAGATTTTATGGTTAATTTTATAATTATATTAAATATTAAGCATTTTTCGTAAAAATCACAGCAAAAAAGTTTTAAAATAAAGTTTTTAACTTTATATATAAAAAATTACCAAACATACATATATCTGAAAACGTTGTACAACTACATGAAAAAAACCCCCAACCGCAATCCCAAACGCATAGTAAGATCTTCTCCTAAACATGATTAATTAATTATTAGATAAAAATCATGGTTTTTAAGCATTCAAATTATTATAAAGTTCCAATTTTGACTTCTTCTTCTTCTTTTTTTCCCCTAAGTTTGAAGAGCCTAAGCAGCTGCATCAATAGTAACTTTTTCTACAAAGATATAACCATCTATGGTGTCTCCATATTGGGAATGGAGTGGGACTTTAGGCACATGAAATGGAAATAAGAAGAATGTCTTTTAAAGATTGAGAGGTAGAAGAAAGCCAAAGGTCCGCTTTTTTGACATTTCAGAAGATGTTTGGATGCATTGACTCTAGAACAACATTGATTTGAAATTTTGAATGAAACGAAGTGTCACTTCAAAAGGAATTTCACATTGTGTTCATGCTTTGATGGTGTAGTGATCTTTGGTGTGATACCTTCAAGCAATTTTGTCGGTAGAACAGCCCATAAAACACATGCTTTTGATCATTGAGTCCATGTAGCTAGATTGGTCTTGTCTCAAACTAATTAAGGACCCCATCATTCTTTTTGGTCTTGTGACAAGTAAATTAAATCTCCTAGTTGTTAATTAAACAAATATTTTGAATTTCCTCTGTTGGTTTTGGAATTAAGTTGACAAAAGCTCCTAATTCTATGAGTTATTTCATTGCAATATTGGGTTGGAGAGACAACCTGACAAAGGTCCATTGTGTATAAACCCCACAACGAACCAAAGGTGAGCTTTTTAGGCCAAAATTCCTAGAAGCATCAAAATCCAATGTGTGACATTGAATGTGAAACTGGTTTGCAAACTCTACACACCACATTGAGTTGGCTGTTGGCTTCCAAAGTAGTATGGGAGGAATGTAATGATGACACAGTTGTTATCTCTTGACATCAACTTGATTTTGCTCAGCCTCTTGCTCCCTCTTCAATATTCCCAGGTTTAAAAGGAACCTTCACAAACTTTTGACACAATTATCCGGACCCACTTTAGGAAGATAACCCAAAATTTAGGTTTTAAAAATAAAATAAACAACTTCATTCCTTAGACAACAATGCTTCACTCTATCTCTAAGAAGATATAGAATGTTATCCAAATTTAGACCCTCGAACCTCTTTAATAATAGCAAAAATGGAAACTATATCCTACAATTCCTTCCTTTTTTCTTCCTCAATCTTGGAAACAAGTAATGAAAGCATAAACATAAAGCAAAGAAAAACAAATTTATCTAAGAAATTAATTGGAATTAGAATAGCATTAAAGAATAAAAAACCTTTAAAAGATGGCATTATAGTAAAGTGAATTCCACGTAGACCCACATAAAAAGAAGAGAACAGAATCATGAAGAGGAGTAGTGGCAAAAGACTAAAGCTTTAAATCATCAAATCAGAACCAGTGGACAACATTAGTATAATTTGCCTAACCAGCTAGGAAAATAATTTATACGCCATGTTTCTTTATAATTAAATTTCATAATCTCAAATGACGATAATTATGGTTGGCTCTTTTCACTTGTATAGCTGTACATACTGTATAACTATTGCAAAATATAAAATGTAAAATGCATCCCTTATATCTGTGTGGACGCATATTTTAATTGCAAAAGGTTCTTGAAATGGTGAAAAAAGGGAAGGTAAGAAAAGGCATCTTTAAGCAATAAAACATCGATGTGGAGCAATGATTTTGTCTGAGGGGCATGGCCAAGGCCGGATGCTTTCCTAGTTAAATGAAGCTATAGAAAATAAAATCCTCAAAAAAGGGGGTTGGCAAAGAGACATTGGCATGGGAAGGATGTCGATCCAATGCTTATTTTAGGCCTTAACACATGATTCAGGAGGGTGGAGAATTGGAAATTGATCCACTCTTTAAGGTTAGGCATCATCTTTCTAACGCATGATGCATCATCGAGATGTTGCCGGAACCACATACATTACGTTGCTTGTTATGGGGACGAGCCATGATGATGAATCATGTTTGTATTTTTGATATGTTACTTCAACGTCCAGTTTGATCATACAATTTGAGCGTAACGAAATGCAAAATCTTGCTTAGCTCATTCCTTTCATTTCTTTATGAATATGAGTATTAAAAATATATATTTGCACCTATGAATATGATAAATTTGAATTCAAAGTTTTCCAGGAATTGAATCTATCGCTGACCATCCAAAAAAAAAAGAGGACAAAAAAACAAATTGAATCCGTCATCGGTTTAAGGCCAGAAGTTGAAATTTTGGATGGACTAGCAAGACCCAACAACATGTGCATTGCATTGGCCCAATTTAGAAGTTCACTTCGGAGATAGGACTTAGGAGGAATTGAACTTCACCCTTGGGTTCTTTAACATACTTCAACCCCAAGGAAAGGTTGCCATCAGGTTGTATCAACATGGTCATGGAACATCTCATAAACAGAGTTGCAACAATTGAAAACAGAGTAGAAAGCATACCTTCAGGAAGCACAACTTGAAAATTTTTTAAATACAGCAGTAGAATTATGCTTAGAAAAGCAACAGTACATAGCTGTTTCAGATATGCAGGCATACCGAGTAAAATTATAGATAGCTTTTACTTTTGGGTTCACTTATCTGTATTATTTTTACGACTTTCTTCTTATTTCACTGTTTTTCCCCATCTTTTTTTCTTTCTTTCTTTCTTTCTTTCTCTGTTTTCCTCATTTACAGAACTTCCTTAAGATCCCAACAAATGATGTATTAAAAAGGAAAAAAAAAAAAGAAAGAAGAGGATCACATCTGGGGTCTGGTTTGGACAACATAGACCTTCCCATCACGGACTACGCCTTCAATATCTTGTGGCGATCCATAAAGCTCCTCAATTGCATGCCCTGCACGAGCAATGCTTGAGAGGATTGATTGTCGGAAGTTGCCATCAACAATTAATGGATCTGATGAGTAATCAATCACAACTTTCTCTTCTTCATCCATAGGCACACTGTGCAGAAAGAGAAGGATTAATCAGCATATCAGACTTGGAATAGAAGCGGAGCAGAGCAGAAGAAGAAATAGCTGAGAGACCAGTGAGACCTATTAACAATCTAAACAGGTTTTCATTTTTAATCAGTCTTGCTACTGTTAAGTGTAAACAAATAAGTTGAGGAAGAAATTAATCAAACCAGAAATTAGCTCACAAAGAATGGGAGAAATCAGTCTAATCCAGACAATTCAAACACGAACCATAGCTACCCATTAGAGGGAGAGAGCTTACCTATCATAAAGGCCTGCACCAGCATAACCTTCTAGGTCTTCACCATTGGAATCAGATCGGAATATAATGGAACGCCTTATGAAAAGACCGATTGGTTTGCTTGGGTATCCTAACACCTGAAATATGTTGAAAGTCTTGAGTGAAAAATTTTGTACTATAATGCTCTGTGAATCCTCCGTCCATGTTAAAGTGACTAAAAAAGAGTCTAAAGAAGTAAATAGGTCAGTTAACATTTTGCTTCATATTTTAATTGTTTATGATTCTATAACGGTAACTCAGTATGATACCATGTTAAATCATACAGAAATGTTTTACCTGTGGAGAGTCGAGATTGCTCTTCTTGCAGACAAAACTCAAAGCACGACCTGGATAAGCTCCAACTAGAGTTTCTCCAAGTCCTTTTACCACCTGTTCCAGAAGAGTGTAAGCCTTCTGCTCCCTAAAGGTCAATGGATCACGGACAAGCAAATAATAAATACCTCGGCATAAATCTCTGATGAGTCTCCTGAGGATGGATTAGTTGTATGGATAACAAATGCATAATCAGCATTTATTATCTCCTGAACTAGGACAGCCATGCACAGATAGTCATGGTCTAATTTCACTTTCCTTGTGCTAAAGTATGCCCTCTCATTCCATTTTGAAGCCCAGACCTACGGTAAAAGAATTTAGCAGGATCAAAAACCTCGTGCATGGGAACTTTCAATTTTGCCATGGTGTAATGGTTCACGCATTTAGATTTTAAATCATGTAAAGCCAGAGTAAAATTTGCAACAATCATGGAAAAAGAGAAATATATAAAATATATATCTTCACAATTCAGAGTGAAAAGGAAACTAAAACAAACAGATTAGGAAAATTGAACTTGACTGGTAAAGCATCAGTTAGGTGTTAGGTTTTACTCATTCTTTTTAAATTTTTTATGTGCTCTTAGCGCAGAAGTGGCGACCAAATCAAACAGGTCAAGATACCCTAGTTTAAACCACATCTACCACGTACAAGTAGGATTTTGATTCAATAGAGACGAGTCTGGTTCATCACCAACAAAACTTCCTAGAAATATGCTCTTTCCCCTAAAAGTAAGTATACCTTCTTTATGGCTGTCCATGCTTGTTCCCATCTCTGTTCACCTTCATCACCAGGCCAAGGCATCCCAGAACTCTGCATCTTAGTCTTCAACTCTTGCACCTGAAAAGAAGAATCCTCAGAAAATTTCTTATATTAATGTAGTTGAAGAAGAAAGTTAATTTTGTTGTTTGTTCATTGTTAAATAGTTTCCAATTTAAATTAGATCATGATTAATTACAACTTTTTTAATATACCCTTTAGAGTATATTAACTTGGGTTTCAAAATTCTCTCTCCCTCTCTCTCTCTCACACACTATCCATCCTTGGTTCAGGAACCGAAGTTGGACAGGAAAATTGGCTACCAGGGTTTAATCATGAAAAACACATCTCCTCTGTTTCCTATGTTGGTGTAACTAATGCTATAAAACCAGAAAAAAAAAAAAGGAAAAGAAGAAAAGAAAAAAGGACCATCTTTCATTTTACCCTCTTGAGTACTTATGTCTTACATACCAATTGGGGAGGTGCTGCCAACCTCAGAACTGTCTGGCGAATTTCTGCAAGAACACCAAAGTCTCCATCTGCTAATTTTTTCTTCAATGATTGCAACTCCTCAGCCACTGCCTGATAATAAGATACGACGAAAGATAACCTGTCAGTCTATACCGGACTCGTTTTAACAAGAAATAAGTAGAAGAGCATGCATATATAGATGATAAAGAAAATAGAGGGTAGAGTGCAACAGGCAAACTAAAACTAGTTGGGAACAAGCTTTTTCCTCTTCCTTTACAGTTGGATGTGTTATAACTATAAGCAAAGCAGTGTTATATTCAATGAAATTATCCACCAGGGAAGTAAGAGATTTTGTGGTTGGATTTTTAGCCATTTCTTCAGAATATTTGACATGACAGCATTTCATATAATGGAAAACATTACAAAACTCTGATTAAGGATATTGTATATAATTGCAGTAGCAAGTCAACAAAGAAACTATTATTATATAGAACAGATATGATAACAACCTTATTCAATTTATCTGAAAGAACCTTCTCGAATGCTCCAAATGGTAGGGCAACTGATGTAGGAATCCCAATCCAAGATGGCACTTTTCCTTTCAGATATGATATATTGCGTGATTTAGAACCAACCTAGGGGAGAAAAAGCACATTCCACGCAAAATTAGACATGTAGAATATTGTGTGTCAAGGATTTGGCAGGTAAAATTTTCTGTACAATCAATTATAAGTACATAAGAATAAGTAAAAGAGGAACAAGGGAGACTTGACAGAACAAAAATCTTATTTTGCTAGCCTAACCATTTCACTTGTAAATTCCTCAGCTGATACGGCATATCTACCACAAAACTGCTTTTTGACCAAGGTAACTGATGGCAGACTACCTCCTTTAAAGTCACCTGGACTTGAACTTGCTAGTTCACCCTCCGTAACCTCACTGAAATATTGATCAAAGAAGGTAAAAATAACTTACATGAGTTCATGTTGGTTAATAAACCAGAAAGAGGTATATAGAACACTGGAATTTGTCTGAATTTCCAGTTCTCTTTATGGTAAGGATGTCCTAAATGTTTCCAGAATTTAGACATAGGGTTATATACCCATAAATTACATCTGCAGAAGTAGGTTTTAAGCGCAACAATTTCCCTTCATTTGCTTCAAGAGTAGCAAGAATATTGGGATCAAAGCATGTAGCAAAGCAAACCTGCAGGTAACAGCAAGCCTTTCAGAATAAGGATTTACCAATTAGATACAAATAGCAATCCCACTGCACCTTGTCATCAAACTCATCACCTTGCTATTTCTTGCTCTCACAGAAACATGTGATAAAACATCAGGCATGTCAGGTGTCAATACAGCAACTGTACCATCCGGGATTTCCTCCTCCCCTTTTACACTTTTTGCCACTAAAATTGTAGGCCGATCATAAGATTTATTCTGTACAGCAAGCAGCTCATTTACAACGATGACATAACCTGCTACTTCAACCGGACTGATAACCTGCCAACTGTTGCATGCCATTGAAAGTTGCATTAGAAGGTTACAGTATTCATCGAGCTGGAATCTCCATAATACAATGAAAGAAACTCATCATATCATACTAACCATAATTGAGATAGATATCAGCAATTCTTCAACTAATAATATTTCAAATTAATGCAAATCATTTCCTATGCCAAATGCTCATTACATAACAGTGATCTTACATTAAAATCCATCAGCAATTGTTCAACTATCAATATTTCAAAAAAATAATCAATATAAAGCTTCTTAATTCAAACAAAATTTATGTGCATGACAAGGGACAATCTACCAACCTCCCTAGATTGGCAGTCTTTCTAAGAACCGGATCAAGTCGATTAATAAGCAAGGATAAGGCTGCAGCTGATCCAGCACGAATAATTTCTTCGGTAAATATGTCAATCTGCAAGAGGTATTGATAAATGCTTTCCAGTTTCTTTCACGGGCAAAGAGAACAAAATGGTATGAACTAATAAAAAGTGAAGTTCAGATCTAAAGCAGAAATTATCGTACAGCCCACTGGTCAACTCCAAGCCGTGATCCAAGATACTCTGCTGACGGTTGCAAAATTTGCTGGTATGATTCTGCCTTGCTAGTAAGTACAAGACGAGTTCTGTCAAGAACTGATTTTGCATATAATGCCCATTGATCATTTTTATTCTTGCACATGGTTAGGGCATTGTCCCATCCCTGCATGGTAATGAAGTAATATCAGTAGACATTGAACCAGCATCCAGTTGGTAAAAGAATGTCTGTATGTTCATGGATGCAACAAGTATCCAAATCTTTTATCTATTGATCAAAATTCCCCTGTTATTTCAGGCACACAAGGTAAATGTCGAGCTTAATGTGCATCCCTATAAAACAGCCAAAAAACTAGCAATATTTTTTTCTGTGAATATAGTACATGTAAAAGGATGTATCAATAAGATAACCTCGTATCTGAGTTAAAGATATTGAGATAGAGGTGTGGTCAGATTTATTTGAAGAAATTTTCATGCTCATTCTTCAAGAGAACTCGAGAAAAATAGTTTAGATTGTTTAGTCACATCCAATGTGAACCTAAGGGTACTCTGGCAGATAATGATGATTTGATGGGTAAAAGAAATGGGGGAACATACAAATATTAAAGATTGACTGGATGGAAGTATAAGGACTAAACTTTCTTCCATCTTACAGAGAAGAAGATAGCTTTTTAGTTAGTTAAGTGGAGAAAAGTGATTCACATCATCAAACTTCAACATAAAACCAGCTTTCTCTAGTAAATATCAGAACTGATTCTAACCAGCTTTGACATTGAAAGACATAAGATTTCTCT